TAAACCCTTATAACTCATGAACGGACGGTCCAATGATCATTTTTAAGGACGTTTTGGAAACTTGAAAATCTGAGCTATCTAACAATATCCATAAATTTATCGAGAAAAATTTCTTTCACCCTTAAAATCGCTAAAATATAAAAAAAAATCACATTTTCTGGGGAGTTTGCCAAACATTTTGGCGATTTTAGGGGTGAAATATATTTTTTAAAGAATTTTTATGGATATGTATCTTTAGCTAAGATTCTGACGTTTTTAAAAAGCTCTTAAAAATCATCATTTCACGATTCGCATAAGAGTTATAGAGCTTTAAAGTCGAAGTAAAGGTCAAATAATCATCTTTCCTTCGATTTGGATCGTCATAACTTGTGATAAAAACCATCAGAAAAGATTCTGACGTACCACTTGCCATTTTTTGGGGTCGAAAAATCAAAGTTGTCCGATTTCCAAGTTTGACCACTCATTCTCTTCGTCTTGATGCGTGGAAATGCGGAATCAGGTCAAACATTAGAAAAGTTAATTCTTTCACCTTCAAAATGGGGTAAAACCGGAACTTACTTCAAGTTTCGCATAAATTATGCTCCAAGTATGATTTTAACTATTTCGACTCTATTCCTCTCGTCAAGATCTTTCATTTGAGCCCTCGACCAACCCTGTAGCATCATTAGCACAGAAGTTATGCACATTTTTATATCTCACAGTTTTTCGTCAATATATCATTATTTCGTTAATTTCACTATGAATATGTTTTACGCAAGTACAAAACATTTAAACTACGTTTGGAGTAGGGAAGAATTTTTTTCTGATACGAGAAATTTATTGTACCAGAAGAATTAAAAATAAAGTAAATTTTTAGGATAAATTTATTTCCAATGATTTAATTGATCGTACAAATTTTGATTCTCAGAAAATATCAATGACTTCTATTTTTTCTCTACTGAAGAAGTCTGTAAAAATCGTCAAGCTCAAAAAGTATATAAGAGTACTAAATAAAAATTAGTGTTTCAATCGTGACAATGTTTAAAAAATTTCAAAAATCTTCCCATTGTCTCGACTGTTTCCGGAAGTCAGTTATGAATAAAATATAAGTGAAATAAAAAATCCAATCTCAAGGAAATAAAGTCAATATTTTCAAATTTTTTTCAACGAATCAAAAAACTATTGAATAAATCATGTTTTTAAAATCGTGTGAATATAAAATTGATCTTATTTTCCCAACACAATAGACTACTTCCTACATTCTATCTTGTCTGGTTCTCACAGTTCTACCCTCAATAGCTCAATAACGACCACAGTAGAGAAAATATTTGTGGTATATCGTCAAGTCTAAGATACAGAGAATAATAATAATAAAAAAGGGATGTAGTGTAGAGGGATTATTTGTGATCACGCAAGCGGAACCAAGTATTTTGAGAGTTGATGAAATTGTCGATCACAGCCTTTATGTTTTATGAAGATTGACCATGTACAATGGTCATAATGGATTCGGAGCAGAGTTATAGCCTCTAAAAAAATATACTACCAACAGAATATACAAAGATACCATGATGCTACTGTTTTTCTTCTCAAATTTCTCACTGATTATTCAAATATTGCATTCATATGCAAGTGCACTTGGTCTGGAATAGTCCAAGTATCATCATTTTTCTAGATAGCTAAGAATTTTCACGTTATATAGCTGTGTTAAGTATAAAACTGCTGGGTTATTTTAATTCGGATGAGACTGCTCGTTGCTTAGTAATTACAGTACGGAACGATCGGCCTCTTACACGTTACGTTTTGTGTCACTTCGTTATCCTCGTGGCGCACTCGTCTGCAAGTCGTTTCAAGATCCACGTAGTGTGAGAGGGTGACTTTCATTGCTAAAGAGAAATGAGAATGGAGAAAAGCAGGACGATACTTGGAGGATAATCCTCACTATGGCTGAAACGAGAGAACTTGTTCAAGTTAATTTAAGACTCTGAATCTAGTCTCTTTATGTTTTCAATTTATTATACGACACGGAAAAACAAGTCTTTCTTTTCAGCATGTATATTACTTAAATTACAACCTTTTTAAAAAATCAATCTCACTCAATAAATTAAATTAAGCCGATGCTTATTAGATACCTATCTTACTTTGTAGCCAATGTCCATTTACATATGCATTTTTTTCAAATTTAATCATTCGAGTGTGAATATGCTGCTGAACAAATTCAAAACATACGAGTTGGAACATCTTGATATGTAAATTTTTTTTTCAATTAAAATTTTTTATTGTTTTATTGTTTAAAATTAAAATTGAATTACATTAGATATTTTGAATAAAATGAGAGAAGGATTTTTTTAATAAACTTTACTAGATAATAAAGTTTATGAATATCAATGATTATTGAAGGTAGATTATTCAAGAGGTTAATCTTAAGAAACAATGTACGATACACCAGTATAATTAATGTATTATTTCTATAAAACTCCAGCATTGGAGATGAAAATAATGTATCGAGTCTGTTTGCTTGTCTCAAAATTGGCAATCACCAAGAAAATAAGCTGCACGATAACCAGCTGAGCCAATATACAATCAACATTCTTCTTTATTCTCGTTTACGTGATCTGGCGCAATATCCAGAATGCATTATCGCCTCTTTTCCATCTAGTTTGAAGATGAGAGAGCGTCACTTTTTAAGTGTTTATATTTTTTATTCCCTCTTAAATCCATCAGCTTTTCTTTTTTATGTGATTGAAATAATAATTGAGAATGGATCGAGAAAAGAAGCTGGGGAGTGAGGAGAAATACATAGCTTGCTAGCCAGCTCACTTTGTAAGAGGCACTATATATAAGTTGGACAGGCGATGATACGAAAATATTGGCGCACGTTTGTCGTTGCTCGACCAATTGATTTGAGACACGTGGCATCATCAATGCTGCAATCAGCGTAACTGATTGACGGCTGTACTACCCAGTACTTTTTCATCATCGTTTCGATCATCCTTTTCACTCAATCTTACTCTAATACGTTATTTATAAAATGCCTGAAAAACCATCAGTCACTTCAATTGTTCGATATATTTCACTGCTTTCTTTGGTTCATGATACTCAGACGGAAAATTGTCAGGATATACCCTATTATTTTCTCCCTTTTTTATTTGAAAATTCACTTATCAGATTGTCCACCTAACGTCCTAACCAATAGAGTCTTGATGCTATTGTTAAAATGCTCTGGTTTAGAATAGGATTTTACACACTTGTATGAGTTGATATGAATTTTTATTCCTTTTCAAACATTTCCATGCTGTCGTTTACATTTTTCTGGCTCAGAAAAATTGGTTCAGACAGAGGCTTAATTTTTTTTCCTAGAATTAACATATCAAGATAGAATATTTTAGATCAGTTATCGACAATAAACCACAATCTATTGAAATTTATATGCATTTTTTTTATCATTACAAATCACTCAAGAAATTAATTAATATTTTCTTACAAATATTTCAAACAAATTTCTACCAATTAATTGACAAAAGAAACCTCATTAATTTTTATCATTATTTTCAACTCAAATAAAATTGAGTTCACCTTTTGAAGATAAAAGCAAACACAAACCAAATCCTCTTTTGCGGATTCTGATCTTATATACCTTTTTCCCAATTCCCAACAAAAGTTCTTTCACCTGTGCGACGTTTTTTTCACGGTGGATTAGCTACCAGAGTAATTTATCCGAGGGTCTTTTGTCAGACGGTGTGTAGTGTTGAACAGAGACTGGTGATAATATAACACAATATAAGAGGCAGCAAACTCCTTTTTGCATTGGTTCCAATTCTGGCGGATTTGTTTCGGCACTTGGGGTGTAGTAAGCTGACATGATCGCGAAATGTACCCAAGGAATAGTAGCCAACTACCACGCGTCTATATGCTCATATAGACCCCGTCTTCATTGTAATAACGAGGAATTATCGTGGCCATACAATGCCACCCGATCCTCTTTGATGTTGAGCGTGGAAAATAATACCGTGGCTAATGAAATAAGATTATGTTCACAAACGCACCGTCTACATAGTTCTTATCCATATACATACATATGTATTATATATTGACAAAATTGTTTGCTCGAATATGCAGCAGAAGACGATAGAGTTATCCCGGAAATTCCGACTAAAACACGATCGCTCTAATTGTATTGAGTGAATTCCAGGTGTATTCAACAGGAAGAGCTCAACATTGGTGCAAGATTTCTATCTGCTTCATTTTTAAATGAAAATAAATTTCAATGCTGCTAAATGATGATAAGTCTTAAAATGAAATTCATTGATAAAACAAAATTAAATAGTAATTGATTAAAGACTATCTGATATTGAACTTCCTGAATAAAAAACCAATTTCTAGTGAATGACAGGGCATGTATTTACTGTATTTATTATATCAGTGAAGTGAGACATTGATACCGTTCAAACAAGCTCTTTGAGAGCATCGACAGATATACGAAAGACAGGGAATAATTATTTAGTTCTCTCTGGCGTATAATTTACGGTGTAGACTGTGATAGAGGGTGAGGAAGAGAGCTCGGGAGACAAACCCCGTGGTCGAATGAGAACACCACAGCCCTGGAGGGGCGTATGCTCTGGACAGGGCCAAGTGGGGTGCAACTGACAGCACGAGACAATTAGCTTTTTGATACACTCAAGCTGCAGAATATCTCATGTCACAGAGATCCTAAACTACACTACAGTGCACTATGTTATTATATAATATTCGTATCTCTATAAGACATTATGCTTAGATAAGCTAACTTCATTTCCTAACATCTTGGTAGTAGAAGGAAATTGATTTCAATCAGAAATGATCAAGTCTTCGTAATGAATCATTGAAAATAAAATACAATCAAGATTAAATAAGTCTTTTAATTTTCTTTGAGTAATAAATTAACTCATTATAAAGTTAAATAGAAACCAAAAAGTCCTTAGGAGTATGAATATTAATTACTAGGTTTGATGAATTGATTTTGAAGTATAAATTAAACTAAAGTAAATTTTTTAATTACTTTGAATATTTATATCAGCAGTAGGAGTCTGTATAAGTATTCTTTGAGGAGATAAATCAGCTTTGTTGAAAGGTTCTTTCATAGATGTCTGTTTTGCACGTGGATTAGAATACTCATAATCTGAATCTTCGTGGCTTTTAATTGGAACACATTGATTATCATCCACATTCCAAGATTCACCCTCGAGACAAGAACCCTGTGGATAATCCCCAGGGTTTAGAGCAGCTACGTCTAAAACAGTCGGGTAAACATTTCCGACCCCAATTTCTAACAAGAGAACTAGGTCAATAAGTACTTTGTTCCCTTACCTGGTGGTACATTTGGTGCACTGGAAATATCTTCATATTTAGGTGGAATCACTTGTTGATGTGGAGGAGGAAAAAAGATTTTTTTTTTATTTAACTCCACTGATGGTGGCAAAAAATTATTCTTACTTTCAGGAAATTCATTAGTATTTGTTGATAATACGTTAAAAAAATTAGTATAATTTCCATAAGGATTTTTTGGAATTGATAGCATAGGTTTCTGATTCATCATTGGAGAGTTAACAGGAACTGTACAAACTGGAGTGGCTATTGCATTCAAAGGTACTATGTAAAGATAACTACCACACATCGTAAAAGATGCTGGTAATGCTGAAGTTCCACCACCATAGCTACCACCATATGATTGTACTCCATCAGTTGATGCGTTTGTTACAATCGCCAAAGGATTATCACCTATTGGAGTGTCATCAACTAAAAACTGACCACCCATTGGAGGTATAATGCCTCCTTGTTGACCTCCAAACAGAGATGATCTTTGTCCCCATGGTTGTAAATTTGAAAGAACACCAGCTTGTCCACCTGTCAGTTGCATAGGGGACATCTCTGACAATAACACCTGGTAGAGAAGCAAAAAAAGGTTCACTGCCTGTTGAAAGGACCTTTCAAAAAAATCAAACACCTATGTAACACTCTACATATCGATTTGTGTATCTACTCTTGTTTTTCATGCCCCTCGTGAGAACAAAATTGGAGACAGAAAGCAGTGATCATATTGTTGGTGGGTGGAGATAGAATTAGTTGAAGAGTTTTTTTTTGTGTGCTGGGTACATTGAAAGAACTACGTTGTATTAATTTTTTCGAACCTTCTAGATTGATGGTGCATTGGAAAAAATGTATGAGGATTTTTTATAGCACCACGATGGTTCATTTAATATAATAAAATAACTTATATTATCTCACCGAATTCGGATCAGACAAAGTAACAGGAGGAGTTATTGTTTTTTCATCCACAATTGAATCTCCAACAAAACGTGGTTTTATTACTTTCACTCGAAGCGATTCATTTGCTGAACTATACTCTGGAAACGATTCATCAACTCATTCCAATGAAAATTTTATTGTCCAGGGGTAATGGAATTACGCATTAAGTTTATATTTACTTTCAAGAAACTTTAATCTTTTATTTAAGAATTACCAATAAAATTGTTTTATTGATTTTTCGAATTGTATATATACATAATCCCATTACTAATTTAACAAATAAATTAAAAAAATTGTTGCTAAAGTAAAAAATTATTCTTCAATTAAAAAAGCGTTAATTGTTATTAAACTAGAAAACCTTGACTCTTTTTACGATCTAAACTGGCTCGAAGGGTTTGGCTTAGTGTAGTAAAAATCCTCCTTTCTTCTCCACGTTCATTGTGGCATAGAACTTGACAAGAAAGAGGCTGAGATAAATCCAAAATCGGTCGTTCAGGTGTCATAAAAGTAGATAGACTGCCGTAGTTAAGAACTTGACTGAATTGAACAGATGTACCTCTCGAATCATGACAAATCATATCACAAGGGTGAAAGATTTGTTCCAATTGAGTTTCATCTTCAGCATAAAGCTCGATCAAATTAATCACATTCAAACCCTCTAAATCAATTGGCTGAAGCACGTCATCATTTATAAGACTTTTCTTCGGAGTACTTTTAAAATGTTCGGGACGTAGTTTTGAACTGTCAATGTCTATCATCATACTTTGGCCATCTACTAACAATAGATTTATTTTATTAATTATGAAATTATTTCTCAAGAGAATAATGATCACTTAATTTTTTTATACCTGAAGTTATGGGCTCCTTATTTGAGTCTTCATATTGATTCAAATCGTACATCACTTCTGTCATTTTTGGATCCTTTCTGTCCTAGCAATAAATAATATATATTTCCATTAGAAATAATTAGAATTATTATTAGCATTTTCGTAATGAGAAATTATTAATTGAATGGGGAACGTTTAGGAGACAAAATAGTGAGATATAAAAATGTGCATAACTTCTGTGCTAATGATGCTACAGGGTTGGTCGAGGGCTCAAATGAAAGATCTTGACGAGAGGAATAGAGTCGAAATAGTTAAAATCATACTTGGAGCATAATTTATGCAAAAATGAAAGTAAGTTCCGGTTTTACCCCATTTTGAGGGTGAAATAATTAATTTTTCTAATGTTTGACCTGATTCCGCATTTCCACGCATCAAGACGAAGAGAATGAGTGGTCAAACTTGGAAATCGGACAACTTTGATTTTTCGACCCCAAAAATGGCAAGTGGTACCCCTTTCCATTTTTTTTGGCCAAAAAATAAAGGTTCTCCGATTTTCGAGTTTGACCACTCATTCTCTTCGTCTTGATGCGTAGAAATGCGGAATCGAGGCACCGCCCGGAAAAATTCACTTTAACACCCTTAAAAGGGGGTAAAACTGGATACACATTAAAAATGATCATCCCCTTGACTTTAAACCCTTATAACTCATGAACGGACGGTCCAATGATCATTTTTAAGGACGTTTTGGAAACTTGAAAATCTGAGCTATCCAATAATATCCATAAATTTATCGAGAAAAATTTCTTTCACCCTTAAAATCGCTAAAAAATAAAAAAAAATCACATTTTCTGGGGAGTTTGCCAAACATTTTGGCGATTTTAGGTGTGAAATATATTTTTTAAACAATTTTTATGGATATGTATCTTTAGCTAAGATTCTGACGTTTCCAAATAGCTCTTAAAAATCCTTTTCTGATGATTTCTTCACAAGTTATAAAGATTTAAATCGAAGGAAAGATGCTTTTCCGACCCTTACTTCAACTTTGAAGCTCCATAACTCTCATACAAAGCATCTAATGATGATTGTCAAGAGGTATTTTAAAACTTCAGAATCTTAGCTAAATATACATGTCCATGACAATTGTTTAAAAAATGTATTTCACCCCTAAAATCGCCAAAATATTTGGCAAACTCCCCAGAAAATGTGATTTTTTTTTATTTTTTAGCGATTTTAAGGCAGAAAAAAATTTTTCTCGATAAATTTATGGATATTGTTAGATAGCTCAGATTTTTAAGATTCTAAAACGTCCCTAAAAATGGTCATTTGACCGTCCGTTCATGAGTTATAAGAGTTTAAAGTCAATGGGATGATCATTGTTAATGTGTAATCAGTTTCACCCCCTTTTAAGGGTGTTAAAGTGAATTTTCCCGGGCAGTGCCCTGATTCCGCATTTCTACGCATCAAGACGAAGAGAATGAGTGGTCGAACTCGAAAATCGGAGAACCTTTATTTTTTGGCCAAAAAAAATGGAAAGGGGTACCACTTGCCATTTTTTGGGGTCGAAAAATCAAAGTTGTCCGATTTTCAAGTTCGACCACTCATTCTCTTCGTCTTGATGCGTGGAAATGCGGAATCAGGTCAAACATTAGAAAAATTAATTATTTCACCCTCAAAATGGGGTAAAACTGGAACTTACTTTCATTTTCGCATAAATTATGCTCCAAGTATGATTTTAACTATATTGACTCTATCCCTCTCATCGAGATCTTTCATTTGAGCCCTCGACCAACCCTGTAGCATCATTAGCACAGAAGTTATGCACATTTTTATATCTCACAGTTTTTCGCCAATATATCATTATTTCGTTAATTCTATTACATATACTGTTTAGTTCTAAGTAGTACGTGCGTTTAGAGTAGAGAGAAAAAATTTAAAAAAAAAAACTATTTTGTCTCCTAAACGTTCCTCATAATCCTATGAGGGGAGCGTCGGGGATCTTCTGTACTGGGGATCATTCAGGGGACCTTTGGGGAACGAAAGTTTTCTATATGGGGAGTTAAATGAGAATGTTACTTTCTTTTAATAGTATTTAATTTATGTAAATGTAAAGATTATCATTACCTGAGGAAAAAATGAACGCTGCTTCGGTGAGTTATGATCATTAATTTTATACAATTTAGTATAATCTGATTGAATAAATCCACCTACATGACTCGAATCGTCCGGAAATATAACTTTATTATTCAAACTCCTCTCATTGATGAAAAAAGAAGATCTTGGTTCAGAACCAGGAGTATCAAATTTTAATTCACCAGTTCCTTTACGATCGGATATTAAATTGGCTTCTGGGTTAAATAAAGATGTTGAAGATTCTTCATTATTTGCATTTCTAGAATCTCCAGTTCCTGAAAAAAAATGATCTGATTTTTAAATGTGAGTCCACCAAATTTATCGAAGTAATAGTTGTTATTTAAAAAAAAATTACTCGAACTACGAATGTTGAAAAATCTAAAGAATCCTCCGTTGTAGTTGTTGAGATAATTCACAAGATCATTAGGATTTCGTGGACATCTTGGATATTGATGGTAGCATATCTCTGGATTACCTTTATTACTGTAACCTATTAAGGCAGATTTCCCAAATAAAAGTAATGGAGATGAAGACTCTCCAATATTAAGGAAAGACAAAAAGCTGAAAATTTATCTGCTGGATTAGAATGAATATATTATAATAATTTCCAACGATAAAATAAAGTATACCTGATAAGTGAATTAATTGGAGAGTTTAAATAACTCTGTTTATATTTGGTAAATTCTGGTCTTACACCCTGTTGCCATTTCACAAATAATCCGCGGAATACATTTATAATCATCATATTTAGATATTGATGACATTGCGTTAAATATGTTGAGATTAAAAATTGATCTGCCATTTGCATCCAAAATGGGAGATTTTTGATAATCTGCTGAATTTACAGAAGGATATGGTTGGTAATAGTCTGGGTTTTCAAATAAATTTTCAGTCTCTTCCGTTGCTCTTGCTTTTCTTTCTATCTTTTTGATAAAGTTTACATTGTGCATCACACATCTGCCCAATAGAAAAAAACTCAATTAAAATTTATTACTTCTTTTCTATCAGCATTGAACAGTCAACCAATTACTTTGACAATTAAAAATATTATTTTTATTTTTTTCTAACATAATACATCGTAAAATCATTCTACTATCAACAATAAAGCATAAAATTAAAGAAAATACTGGAAAAAACTTTCAGAAAAAGTAGAAAGTGCTCATTTCTTTTCTATTTTATTTTAAATTAAATAAATAACTAAAATTTTTATGTAAAGATTCACCTATTTTTGGCTTGGAATGTTCAATGAGTTATATAATAATCAAGATCTTATGAGATCATTAAACTTACTCTATTAAATCAGTAATTGATTGTTGATGAGATGTAGAATTACAACGATTAAGAGGTACTTGACTAAGATGTTGAACTTGAACCGGACTTGAAAAGACTACCTTGGTTTCAAGCCCTAGAAACGATACGAGAAGGAGGACAAGGCTGTTCTTTACCAGTGAAATTACTTTCGTTTGCGGCCAGTAGGACGCTGAACTTACAGACAAGCACATGCTAATAATATTTTTTCACTTTCTCACAATAGCTAATCAAAATTTCTCCTCTATTTTGTCGTTACACTACTACTCTAGTAAATCGATTTAATGAACCATTTTTTTCATGAATAAGTTGATAAACATTTAAACAATTAAATTCAACAAAACACTTGACTTAAATTGGATTGTTTAGGAAACTGTTGACTAAACAGTCATGATTATTTCAACAATCAATACAATATATTACAAACAATGTAATAAAATTTGCAATCACAATTGCTCATTTATTAGATTAAAATGGAGAGAAATTTATTAGTAATTTTTCTGTTAGCTTTTAACGTGCACTCTGTGAAAGGTACTTGACAACTGTTCAGTGCATGAATTCATTTGACTTCTTTAAAAGTCACTATCAATTCGCGTGGGTCGACAGGCCGTTATTCCTTACGCTCTCTCCTTTTTCTCAGCCCCACTATAACGATGCTAGGTTTAATATAATAAATTCGGCTTTTTAACGAAATAAATCTTGACAAAAAAATTTAACGATATTACTTTACATTTTAATTTTATTATTACCACTATATTCAACATAAAAAAAAATTAAAAATAATCTGATTTAATTATTTACAAAATCCTGAGGTAATGTTGCAAATATCAATAACTTCCTACTCATTGGAATGATGCATCAACTTTCACAATTATTTAATATTGACTAAGATATAAGAAATAAAGATTGAAAATTATTGTAAACAGTAAAACAGTTTATAAGTATTTCAGTCACTCTTGCGAAAATTTTTGTAACATTCCAATAATGTAATATATTATTATTATTAACTTCTGACTAAAAAAACACGACTATGGTTATTGTTAACAATCAACTATTTACATTAATCTGATCTTTGAACAATTCTAGGTTTTAATGAATATTTAAAATTATTTTTCATTATTTAACAAGTTTTCTTGAAGCTATCATTATTCTTATTAATACAATTTTACAATTATAAATAAAAAAAAACTATTAAACACTTGATTACTGATCTTATATCGTCATAACTTAAATTGTACAATAAGCGACTTTCAATTAAACAAGTGTTTTACTTTTTTTTATTTATATTTATAAAAAGAGTTTAATAAAAGAATTAGTTTTTAGAATTCTTGAGACACCTAAAATATTTTGAACTTGTAGCCTCATTCTTTTTTACAATTTATTTTCTAATAACATCTATTTTTAATCAGGCAACATTCCCATCATCTTGACATCCTCTTCCACGCTTAACTAACTGATGACAAAGTCTTGGACTGCCAACAATGTCACCCAAAAAGACACTGAGTAAATAATTTTCCTTCATTGGATCTGGTGATGTTTTATATTGACTAAAACAGAAAAAATAAAATTAATCGTTTTTTTTTCTACACCCACATTCATCTTTACACCACAAAAAACAGACAAGTAACACTAGGAGGTATAATAGCGGCAGAAGAATTATCGGAATACATTAGAACACGCGCAGCAAAGCTATTAAGACTATCTGTGTCCCCGACCACGGTGTCTTACAACCGTATTTAGTGTAAGCTCCAAAGGTTCGAAGGAAGAAACGGTACTTAGACAAACGGGAATCTTGGATAATCCTTGAATGCACCTATATTTTGCTCTCAATCTTAGCTTTACGAGTTTCCTACATCGGGCTAGATCTCAGCACCCATTAGTAAGGTCCAAACGAGGCACGTTTTTCTGTCGTAACACTTTATTTTGAGAATAGTTGACAGCTTGAGACTTCATGAGATATCACGCGAATTAGAACTTTGATGATATCTCGAAGGAACTTCAGCTATCAACTGTTTAGCTTTTAAACTGCTACTGCATTAGTATTTACATGTAACTATTTTAATACCTTTCTAATTATCCAACAGTGAACAGAGTATATTACATTAATTTAATAGATAGAAAATGAAAATCAATTCTATTATTTTATCAATCATTTCAATATTTATGTTTCCTTTGACCTATCATCACAAAAAATGGTTTCATCATCATTGATGAAGCTAATATGTAATTGGATAATAAATATTATTTGATGATTTTTACATATATTGAGTTGTTGATAATATCATTATTATTGGTAGAAGTGTTTTCAAGAGTGATTAGAAAATTATCAAAAGTTTTCATCTATGTATACTTACCTAAATATTTCATCCCAATCAAGATTCCTATCTTGATGTCCTCGTCTTAATGTGATCTCAGCATATCTCGCACATATTCTTTCGTAAACGCAAACTTTTTCACCCAATTCAGCAACTAATCTTTTTTCTACTTGAGCTACATCCAAGATCTTTTCATCATGAGGGCGAGTAGACCTTTTGGAGCGACTCATGTATGTTTCTGTACAGATTAAATAATATACTTAAATCTAGTTTACATAAAATTATTATTCAATAAAAATAATAATATTATTCAATAAAAAATAATAAGTTCAAATTATAATAATATAGAATGTATAATAAAACTAGTTTTAATTGAATGTAAGATAATAATAATCAGTATTAGTAATAATTATGTAATGTGGTTTAAATAACTATAATTTGACTAAGCTCTATGGAAGTGCACTTTCTTTTACCACATGTTCTAATGAAGACAGATTTTCCAACCGACTAATTTCTCAATAATTGTGTAATAAATAATTATACAATTTTTCTTATATGCATATGAAAGAAATATGTAATTGTTATGAATTTTTTTCCTGTCATAAATTTTATATGATAAAAAAAATCCGTATTTCAACATTGGCATACAAATGACTTCTCATTTAAAAACTTATTTTCAATTTTACTAACACTTTTTTCTTGATAAATTGACGTAAAAAAAAAGAGCTTAGAATCACAATGAACATTTTTTAAATGAAAATGCAAACGAAGATTTTCTGAAAGAGAAGAACATAGTTCAAGTATCAGATTGAAGAAATTATAAACACACAGACTTGACGTAATAGATCAGTGTAGACTCAGTATGATATTGTGTGAGTAGCCCAACACTTTCGCTCACAAGGACGTCCGGTTTGAATTTAGTGTTTAAATATGTATGTTTTAAAGAGAGAAAATATATAATAATAAAAAAGAATGTTTTTTTTCTCCGAATAGCGTGACAAGAATACTTGGTATAAAATCCACAAATATGCCGCAAATAATTAAAGGAAGTAAATGTACTTACGAGGATTGAGGGAGTATGCGAGTTTCTTGATGAAATTGGTTATTCTAACAGCAGCAATAATTACAGGAAATCCAACTAATTGAACTGGCAATTCGAATGCTGGTTCCTGAGGACTTGGCGCCGATATCACATGTCCTACCGCCAGTAGACAGCACACCAGTAATATGTACACACGTGATAGGTGCATCCTGACATATACTCAATATCACAGTGCAATCAAAATAATCTAATGAGACTGCTTGAGCGTGTAATCAATACTTTGCACACTGTATCGGATAAAATTTCATCAGACTGAAACAGTACCAAGTGAATATGAATTGAGTGACAAAAAGCTATGTTAATTGATGAAAAACATTTTTTCAAACTTTAAACCAATGAATATTTGAATTGCGAATGGAGATTAAAGAAACACCGTGCAAAATAGAAACAAAGCTGATTTGAATGAAGATAAGTAATGAGTTAAAAAATACATACGTGAAGTGTGTCAAGCCTTTGGAGACTTAGGCAAACATCGGAACACTTCTAAGCCCGCAACAATGTCCACTGACTGATAAAAACTGGTTGCTGAATGTACCTTTCGGTATTCATGCTTGGCCAAGGCTCGAACCAGAGAGAAAGTAAACGCCCCACTCATGAGTCCATACCAAGTGGAATTAGCTTATAAGCACGTTGGTATTACCGGGATTCTTATACCCAATGCACGCTGATTACGAAACAGACAACTTGGGTATAGTATACGTGTGCTGATGCACGCTCTCAAGTCTAATGATAATTGTTAGCTTATGCCAAGAAGGTCGTGAGTTTTGTCTCGAAACTTAATGAAGAAATGGTTATTGTAGATAAGCTACACGTGCTTGAGCTTGCTATTATTGTTTATATGTTTTAATAATGCTTTCTACTGACTTAATTTAATCAATTATTTAGTCTATCAATGTGTATTAATATGCAAGTATCATAATACTATTGAATTTATTTCAATTAATTATTATCACCGATCGCTGATTATTAATTACTGATAATCTATTTTGTGCTATCGTTGATGGATATACCGGTTCGTGGTCAGGTTTTGAATTGTTTTCAAGCTATTGATTTTATACTCGGCCTTTGAACCTCATAGTTAATGTCTGATGCAAAAAATATCCTTGATGGAAATGTCTGGTTAAAAAATTCACTTGACTCCAAAAAACTTGCATGTCTGGATGTTATTATTAATGTTGAAACAACAGATTGATGTGAAGAAATTTATTTGAAAATTCTTATAGGTAAGAATTGTTTTTAATCTTGGAGTTAAATTGATGATAAACGTGTGAGAAAGGCATTTAAGTTAATTGCTACTTTGAAGAAGAAGATAAAAACCAGGATTTAGTTTAATAATTATAATGAGTAACATTTAAATTAAAGAATTACTTTTATTGTTATGTTAATTTAATTTTCGCAATTATTTTTACATGCTCGTGTTGCATAGAATAATCGTACAATTGAACAAATGAAAATTAAAAAATAATACATGAAATATAATTTTAAAAAATTTAATATCAAACAATAATTAATGTTGTATTAAATATTATTTATGTATGCTTTGTACTTTTTTGTTCTAAAGCATTAATTAGCTAGCCTCAATTATAATTCAAAAGGTTCAGAATTGTTCTTCGGATTAAATATATAACAAACTTTCTCTAAACAAATTGATAATAAATTAATTGATAATGATAAAAAATATTTATAATAAACTCTTTCATATATTTCGACATCGGATATATAATATTTACTATTAAACGAGAATGATAGAAAATACAAACACAAATTCCAATACAAAACATTTACTCAATACATGAACATCCACATTACATCATACACGTATTGCTGTTATCGATGTGCATGTCTTCCGCAATAATCTTTTAGGATTCACTTTCTATCACATCGCCTCAACCCAACGACATTTGATGAATAAACATGACGTTATCGGATAAGTTTACCAGAAAAAAACATCACGAAAGTTTTTTTTAATTAAATGAATGTTTTTATTACAGCAAAGCCAATATGAATATCTAATTAGTAATTATACTAAAGAAAAATACAATAACTTGAGAAAATCCTCTCAATTTTGCTTTACATTCCATTTACTTTGTTCGTTGACTTGAGTTAAACTTTAGCTAGATGGTTATTCCTAATGACACTACAGAACACACCGATACTGTCGTCATAGTCGTTGACATGCTTGTGTTGGTTATACTCAAGTTGCTGATATCGTTTGAACGACGAACAAAACTCGTATTCACGCGTACTAGAACCTGTACCAATGGCTCAAATACTGCATTAAACGACTTACTTTACGTTGTACACATTCGACAAAATAAGGAAATTCTTTTGATCCTTATTATGTCCATCAAAGTTTCTCAATTAACCTAAGAGTTTAAGTTATCAAGGAGTCTTCTTCAACATTTAACATTGATGACATTGTCCTTCATTCTCTTTCTGATATAAAAGTAATTGCAAAATTCTTTCATATGAGAAGCTAAACATGAGCTAAGAGGATCATCAAACAATTGGAAATTGGATACCATCAAAGTTCCAAATGATATCATAACAATCAGATAGTAATATGATTTTTTTAATCGTCATTGTTATATCTTGTAATATTTTTTTATGGAATTGAATTTGAAAAGAAAATAATTTTTATTATAAATTATCTTTAAATTTTTTATTATCATTAGACCTTATACAATTAATTAATTAAAAATATAATTTTATAGCCTAGACTAGGTGGTACTGATAATGATTAATGAGTATTGGACGAATTTATAACGAAACTTAATATGTTCCAAAAGTACTACACCATTTGTTCTTCCATTAAAAAAAAATAGCAGTCACAATTCTCTCATTTGTTCTGCAATTTTCATACTTTTTCTTTGTCTTTCAACTTAATTTATACCTCATACAGTATCACAGATACATTTTTAACAACCTGAATCAGGAATATAAATAAAAATTACCGTTCATAATACTTTCTAGTTCACTCTATGATGTCTACTTATACTCATTATTTAATAACTCATGTGTTAAAAATTTTCTTCACCTCAATGAGTTGAATAATAAAAAGATTAATCCTAGCAAACCGTCATGTTTTCTTTTACTTCAAATGAATTCTCATGTTCTATCAATTTTAAAAATAGAAATCATTCAAATTTCATCTAGTCCACCGAGTGAACACATCCTGGATAATTATAAACGGCACTTAATATAGATAATTTCAAATAATTTCAACTTCCAGATTCATTTTCATCCGCATCCACCACAAGAAATTATCGAAGCCGGATCTTCTTCATCATGTTGAGAACACTGGAACGAGGTAGTGGACAAGTAGGATAAAAATTGTGGCAGCCTTGACCTTCGATACCAGCGATAAGTTGACCCATATGAGCGGCAAAGTGATACCTTGAGGCAACTTCCGCCATCGTGGACAGACTCGTATCTCTGTAAACAATATCCAAGTGTCAATAATTGTTTAAATACACTAAAAAGCATAATAATTATTTTCCTTTCTCAAGCTTTATTTATCCATAAAATATTTAAAGAGAAATTGACTTCATTAAGAAAGAGACTTTATGAATATTTTTATAAAAAACAATCACGTTCGACTGAGACTAGAAACGTTTATTGCAATTTGCGCAAGTTATTACGATAGACCAATTGATCTCCCGGCATACTCAAGTAAGTTCAAGAAAAGAACAGGGACAAGGCAAGTTGCCTTTTACTTTCCGAGTCAATTCTAAACAAGTTCAGTTAACAAGGCGAGCGTGATTGCTAGATTTTTCCTCATTTTTTGCCTCACATTTTTCAACACTTGCCACTTTAAAGCGGTCGCAATAACAATCACTTATTGTGTCCGAGATGAATGCAAATGCACAAAGAAACTGCTTAACGGAAGTGCAAAACTTAATGTCTGGGATTGTATATTTTTACAATAGTTATGAAAATAATAACAATTGTAGTTGAGTATTTATTCCACGTGGAAAAAAATTAATCACTGTTTCGGAAGAAGAGGTGAAAGTTTCGTTGGATAATCGATGAAATGGAGAGTGGCCAATCCTACATTATGTAGGTTATGCAAAAAATGAGAGAGTCGTAACATAATGGCCAGACAACCTGAATTTTGGGGCTAAGACGTTGTGTAATACGATCACCATACTTTCACATCCAGATCTTCCTTTATTGTCTATATTGATTGCTAATAGCCACTTTATTATTCTTTCAACAGTTCAACTATCAAGAAAGTCTACTTTTTTTCAAAAAATAAATCTGATCCCTTTCCTTTTTACCACAGAGACTAGTAATAATACAGAATGCGATGAATGTCGGGTGAAATTACATGTTCTGGTTAACATAAAAAAAGTGGTTTAGCTGAGTGAAATACATCTAGCACTTCTATCTTCAACAAGATATTAATTATTGTAATAATTAACTGTCCATTCCAATGATATTATATCACACATTTCATCTCAATAATCTGTTCTTTAGAGAATACTAGATAAGGAATAAATTATGGTATTTATAATGAAAGTAAATATTTTGACAAGTCTGGCGGATTGTAAATGTTATTCTACATGAACGGGTTGGCAAACGAAAGTTGAGAAAGTCACGGAGAGTGCATCGACCATAAAGTTGAAAGTAGGATGTAATGGGCTTCATCAAGACTTGTATCAGAGAAATTGGTCAGTTCAAGCTTCCTTTTGGTTATCAATTAAAAAACCATAATCAATAATAATAATAAAAATATCGAAGTTATCTTGTAATCATCATAAAAGTTAAATAGTAAGTATAATTATTTTCCTCATAAACTTGTCATAATTATAATTTATAGCAGGTAAATGATCATAACCATAAACTCGTACCTAATCAAGTTTAGAAGTGACTTTTCCATCTCACTCAGCTGATCATGATGAACTGAAGACGTCAATTCACAAATAAGTTTAGGTAAACATGCTGTCTTGATTGTAGCCATCATCTTGGCCTTGCGACTCATACCTGTGTAATAAACATTATTACCAAGTAACAATCTAAATCAAGATAATTGCAATAATAGTAATTATTGTAATTTTCTACATTGTTGTAATCATTATTGTTTCCATAAATATTTTAATGATAATTTTATGATGTAATACCTAGATCTTTAACGCCAGACATCATTGCTAATCTTTCAATATCAGAATGGCTTTTTCCTGGATCATTTAAACCTCTGATTGTTGAATTAGCACGATCCATGTTATTTCCAAAAATAGAATTAATTAGAGCGGTATAGTCACCAGCAAAAACGAGGAACATTCCAATAAATATCACCAAACGCACAGTTCCAGTATCTACCACCATAGTTGCTGATTTTTACGTCAACACCAACAATCACCTTGAAGTAATTTTTTATTAAATTGATAATTTTTATTCTCAGTTTTCTCAGAACTTGTTTTATCAAGGATGACTTCCTGATTGTTTAATCAATTATGATGCTTCATGTAATTATTTTTTACGCAAAATAACCAAAGTAAATTTGAGATGTTCATGAACTCTACAGAACGTTTGCACACTACTGAACATGAAAGTATTTATAACTTACAAGGGAACGCAGAACTCTCGCTTTCTTCGTCCTCCCACCTTAACTCAGAGTAAAAACTCCTTCTTGTTGCTTTGCTCAATGAAAAAGATCTGAATTTTTTGTGAAAACTTGTAATCAATTATTCACGATGAGTAATAATTTATAACTGTAAATAATCACTTAAAAAATATCAACAATGACTTTTCTTCAACTGAAAGCCCGCGAGAGTTCAATAATGCACTCGATTTCACTGCGTCGTACCGTCAGACTGATCGTTAATGACAAGACTGTCTAAGACTTGTTCGCGGCACCATTCAAACCAGTAGTGACGTCGAATACTTTGCATCGCTTGTTAACAAGTGTACATTAATAAACATCCAATGTCAGAGGTCTTGATAGGTGATTTGCAAAAATAGTAAAATTAGATTAAATATTTAGAACAATAGTGTCGTGAGGTGACCGGCACACTGCAATAACTGCGAATGGTACGAAGCTACAGCAAGTTAAGAGCCGTAGCCTCTCTAATTCTGCTGTGGAGTAGTCAGTGAAAGTTAAATTGAAGCTGGGGATATGTTGGAATAATATCGGATATCTGAAAAGGATTAAGAGTAACTCGTATTTACTTCGCATAATGATACTCCACTATTTTTATACCCACAAACTCATTAAAAATTATTTAAACTTGACTCTGAAAAATTTGTTAACCAAAGTCAAGAATTTATTTATCATTTAGCTCACTTTAAATCAATTTTTAAAGCTATGTAGAAATATAAAGAAGTTTCCACATTGTATTCCAAGATGTTTTGATTATTATTTATGAAATTCACCGAACAATCGCGCTTTTTTTTTGTCAAGTCGTTCTATCAATGCAGCTGTTAATGACCTCACTGTGTATATTGAAATTTTTTTAGTTCGATTTTATTAATGTCCTTGTATTCGATTTAATGGATTCGTTTTTTTTTATCAGCAAGACTTCTAGATTTTTCGTTGGACTCTTGTCTTCTCCTCCTCGCTAAAATAATTGCAAAAAATTAATTCAAATATTATACCTGCGTAAGCTTGTAGTAATAAAGTCTATAATACTGCAGCAAGAGAAATAAATTATACTTTATAATCTATGTAAAACTGAATTAAAAATTCAAGGGTAATATTTCTGAGTGGATTTATAACCAATTAGACAATAATAATAAATTATACTTTACTTCCTCGAGATGATGCTACGGAGGATGTTTCGGCTGAAGCATCGCTACTTGAATCCGATCTTTGGCAACGGAGTGCGGAATTTAGACGGTCGAGAGACAGAGATACCATACTTTTGTTGTGTCGGAGTCTTCGAGAACGACGGCTGGAGTATCTTGGATTTTTATTTTTGTAAATAAAAAAAAAAGAAGATAAAATAGTTGAATAAAAAAAAAAATTAAATCTGAATTTCAATATAGATTTTTGTTGACTGACAAATATGGATTGAGTACCTTGACATTTTCGAGCGAGTCTGTGACAAAGTCCGTACCTTCTGGACATTTATCTTTCCCAGTGAGTCGGTCGACTTGGCAGCTTTCAGGCTTTTCCCGTAACATTCGCTAAAATTTATCTAACAATTTATTATGATGTCTATGGAATGTGACAGTTAACATTCATAAATATTTACTTTTTTAAGAATTTTTTCCAACGATGTAAGTTTATCTGCCGTCACTGATAATTCGTTATTTAATCGATTTATCTGTAGAGTATTTTGAGAATTTATTGATCAATAAAAACTGATAATAACTTTTAAAAACTTGTTAAATGTCTACCAAACTCGTATTATGATATCAAAAATAACATTAAATACGTACTTCATTTTCCAACCATAGTGATGTTGCTTGCTGTATGCCTCTCTGGATCGTTTAGTTCAAAATGATTGTTAATAAAACATTTTTCCAAACTAAAATTCAATTGAACTCATCTATTGCACTGTGAGCACATTAATTTTTTATACTTTGCTTCTTTCATATTATTTTTTTACTCTTTTTTCCACTCACAAAGTGAATAGAAGTTTTTAAATTTCCTGTTCCATCAACAACAGAGCGAAAAAAAATGTAAATGCAATTTTTGATTTTCCATGCGTAAGAGAATTCAATTGAATCTTTCATATATAAACGAATTATCGTATTTTTCTTTTCTACAACTCACCGCTTTCATGACAACTTCTTGATACTCTTGACGTTCATCTTTTAACACAATCACATCTGCAAGTTTCTAAAATGAAAATAGTTAGTATGTTTAAAGTACATAAATGAATAAATGACTTCTCTAAATGTTCTTACGGTTTTATTATCCTCAACGATTTCCAATAATTCTTTATTTGATTTATCAATCTTCTTTATAACCTGAAATGCAAAAATGATCTCATCAATATTTCAAAAAAAATAATAATTTACTAAATAATTATATTCAATTTCAAATTTAACCTTTTACGTTAAAATGAATTTTTTCTATTTTTGAATGACAAATTAAAATACTTACTCGATTAGCATACCAAAGTGTGAGATAGAATAAAACATATGCAAAGACGCAGATAAAAATATTGTCCAGAACATATTGACGTATGAAAGACTGCAAATAACGAAATTTCAGAGGAATAATGAAATATTAATAAGTCATAAAGTGTAAATGATAATTAGTTCACCTGACGATCATAAACATTAATGAATTTTAGTATTGGATGTGACCTGGCGAGCCGAGAAAAATAATATTGCCTTTGCGAGAACATGGTGGAATCGACAATCCATTAGCGTGATAAACGACTATAAAGTGCATGGAATATTACTTATGATCTCGTTAAATTCCGTTTGTAAACGCGATGAGTGAACGACGAAAATTTGTTGCTGCTGACAGTAGATATCCATGAATTTAGCCGCGAGCAATCCATATTTTGAATGTATAATCAAACTCTTTACTCTAATATATGTTCACTATGTGTGAGTCCTTGTCTGAATAACGATGGAAGACAATGCCAAAATATTTGGAAAAATGACCATGTCAAAGTACGTATAAATATTTAAATTAAATTCATTAAATGTCATTGAAAATTTAATTACTCTGTCAATTAATATTCATAATGGTGTACATTAAGTGAACTCAGAGTTAATTAAAATTTTTCTGAAATTCTTTTATTTCAATATTTATTCAATATTATTATTATTATTTATAAAAAAAAACGTAGTAATTACATTAAATGTGTCAACAAACGTGATTAAAAAAATTCTCTTTAGAAAGCAATAGCAATTATTTTGACAACATAAAGCAGTATTCATACGTTTAATTGACTACGACACTCTTCATTATACGTGTTAGGAGACTTTTATCCCTACCAAATTGCTTAGAAGCCCGAGAGAGCGAGAATGACTTTCGACAGAAAGAGAAGATAGTGTTCAGCTGGTAGGCCAATGACCCAAATGCGAATATGGGTCAAGCGCAAACATTTGAGGAGGACCAGGAAAAGTATGTAATTAAGATAATTCATGCGTAATAATTGAATCATCATGAAAAAGGAAGCGTTTCTTTCCTTATCGAATTTCATAAACATACCAGCTATGTAGACCCAAAATCATGAGGAATGACAGCCTACAGCTGATCAGTCAATGACCTCAGTGCGAATATGGGGCGAATGAGAGAGTCTGAAGATAGTTGATGAAGATGTATGAAGAGTAGCATTTGTTTTGTAACATTTTCAACACAGAAATTTGAATTTCAATAAAGTCTTAATTATAGCAAGCATTAAATTTTTGTTGATTTTTTCTGAAGTATTTTTTTCAAGCAAATATTCATTTTATTTTATAAATAATTTTATCAAAATTTTTTAAAACATTGAGGGTTTATAATGATTCTATACAATGATTTGATTATTCATCATGAATAAGTACTTCAATTTTGATATTGATTTCTTAATAACAATGCATTCATTATTATTAAATAGAGTAGCTATAAAATGACATTTTAAGTATTTTTAATGACATGAATTAATTAGTTTACAATCTTTGAAGCATATCCAACGCTAATTAAACTAATCGGAATTTAATCTTAAACTTCATAACAATTTAAACAAGTATAAAACCTAACAGCACCTCGTAAAACCATGCTCATATCAGTAGTACTTTTACACAAGTCTCTATGAATATGAAAATCGTCTAGTAATTTTCGTCAACGGTGCAAGCTATTCAAAATTTTATTATATGTAATTTAACAACGCTTCATTTTCTGCTGATGACATGGTCGTAAGATTAACGTGTTATCGAAATTCTCCAGTGAATTATTAATTAAAAAGTTGCGACAGCATGTAAATATTATGAAAACTTTACCGGAATAAATACACGCGGTGAATTAATGAAATTCATACCAATATTTTTCTACGTGATCCCTTTGCTGATCGAAGTGTAGGGTAGATGAAAGGCATAATAAATAGGCTAATCGTCAGATATAATAATTTTGAAAAAATGTAGAAGGGTTGTAGAGATGAACGAACTGTGTGCGGCTTTCAGGAGCCTTATGCATTAGCATTCGATCGAATAAACAGAGATTAGCACATGAAAGGCCTCAGTAGGAATATAGTAGTCGATCGATGATGGACCGAGAATGGCGTGTGAAGTGAGACAGAAATTATGAGACATTTGGATTCACGCAAGAGATATATACACGTGTATCTGCTGTCGCTTGTGCTCCGTTCGCCACTTGTCATTTCCCATGACGCCTTGCGGCCGGGGTTGACTAACTAAATACAGAGTTAGTCAAACAAACCTGGAGCTAGGGTTAAACCATGCTTAATACTACTTCTGTCGTGTGCTTACATACCTACAGAGCTGAACAAGGACATTCGATACAAACTAAACAGATGAATCAACTGTAAAAATAGTTCAAAGCTACTTTCCTACTTAAATGTAAGGGCAAAAAAATCTTTGCTAACTGGACGATTTATGTCCCATCATATTCAAGCCACTATGGAGATTTAACTCGAGGAATATTTATAGAAAATATAGTTATCCCTTGGTAAAGTGGAGATAAGCTTGAGGAAGATTTAAAAAAATATTTACCCTACTGCCATAGACTATGACGGCTGTGATGAAAATGTGATGGCACACATTTGCACTGGCTATATATAATTTTTGGAAAGAAATCTATTGTTAAACTTGAGTAGATATTCATCAGACATTTAGAGATTTAATTAAGACATTGACCAGTAATCAAGACAAGGTCTTGGTCAGAATTAATTAAGATTTTAGTTAAGAACTGACCAATACTAAAAAAAACTTGTATAATCAACTTTTGTTTTGTTGCTTTATTCTCACTACTACTCTATCATATATATATATTGTTACGCCGTGACTACCTCACACCATACGTGTATTTAATTTTTGCTGACTGTAATATTATTACGCCTGTGTCTCGAGACTCATGGCAACTCTCTTACTTATTTTTCTCAAGCGCAGTAACACATTAGTAGCACTACTTTTGTATTTTGATATTTTTTCATCTTTGTTATTCAGTCAGTCGACAGGAAACTATCATTGAAGTAGAAACAGAAATAAATAAAGTTTTCTCGATTCATGTGAAGAATAAGAATCAGAATATTGTCAATAAGTTTAGAATATTCAGTAATAAATAGAAGTGATTAATTAACTGTACTGTTGTTAACTATAATTTTAGTGCTAAACATTTAAGTGTAATTAATATTAAAAGTGACAATAAATTTGTGATCACTTAAAATAAATTTTTGTGTATTTAAATTGACTGAAATCCTGGAATTTATCCACGGCATAACAAAATTGGTGGCAGCGGTAGTATCTCAAATCAGTTCGAAATTTGAATGCTTGGATTGATAAAGGATAAAATGATAATAACAACACTTCTGTAAGTACAATTACTTATATATGGAAACACATATGACGGATAACGCATTTTCGGAATACAGAGAAAATAATAAATACGATTATTTTAATACGGACGATTCTAACGAGTCTACGGAAGATTTTAAACGAATATCGAAAAATTCAAGTAACAGAAAACACGATGGAAGCTCGAATTACAGATCTCGTAAATTCAGTACAAGCATTACAGAATCAATTAACTACATTACATGCAATAATAGAAAATATAAATGCACCGGCTAACAATCACACGTCAAATCACGATACAGTCGATCACGCATCTACAACGCAAGACAGCGTCGCGACGGCAACTGATATAAAAATCTTAAACAACAACTCGAATTAATTACGGAATTCGAAGGCAATAACATAGCAGTCGAAACATTTATTTTCGAAATAAAATCTATTATTGATGATTTGCCGGAGGAGCAAAGAAATACATTTGTTCGATTGATCATTTCAAAAAAGATTATTAAGGGCGCACGGAAAGCTATCGACGGGCACGATATTCGATCGTCAGATGATCTATATCAAGTTTTACGTAACAATTTTGGCGAGTGTAAATCTTACGATATCGCTATTCTTGAGAGAAGCCAATGTCAACAAGGATCAGAAAAAGTAACCCTTTACAATAAACGATTCACTGAATGTCATCTTAATATTAAAAGAGCAATAAATAATAATGTTGATTATGATAAAAGAGATCGCGCCGTTATATTAGCAAATGATGAAAAACAAGGACTGATACAGTACATTCGTGGTTTAAAGCCGAGTGTCAGATTATTCGTCAAAGCTGGAAAACCTACAACTATTCGAGAAGCTCAAAATTTAGCATTAGAAACAGAGAAAGAAGAAGAAATATCGCGCGTGGTTTATAAAAATTCGAATCACGAAAACAAAAAAACCTATTAACAAAAATTTGAATAGAAACCCGAAAAGCATCGATAATGAAACGCAGAAAAATCTGGCGCAAACAAAAAAGCGATTTCCATGTCATGGATGTGGCAGTTTAGACCATTTTATTCGAGACTGCCCACAAAAACCTACTAATGCAAATTTTCCGTCGCGCCGACAACCAACCGTGCCCAATCCCATCAAATACACAGAATGTCAAGGAACTCAAGAAACCCAGGAGCAACCTTTATGCTCAGAATCAACAGCCAATTCGGACAGCGATACTATTCGTTCTTGGCAGACACAGGAGCAGCCGTCAACGTCATCAAATTAAAGTGTACTGTCGGACTACCAGTCAGGAAAACCTGGGCGCAGCTAACGGGTATCAATGCTACGCCTGTGAATTGTACTCAGGAATGTAAAATTGAAATAGATAACGTTGAACACATTTTTCTCGTAGTTCCTAACGAGTTCCCCCTGGAAGAAGACGGTATTGCTGGTCGTCCATTTCTTGAGAAAGAAGATGCTATAATATTAGCGAAACGAAGAACAATAATTTTTAATAGGAAAATACCAGAATTAAAAATGTTGAAAATTGAGAATAGAGAATCAAACAATTACACAATAGAGAGAAGTAAACTTTTAGAGGAAAATACACGTCTAAATCATATTTTGGACGAGAAAGCTAAAGAAAATATATGGGAAATAATAGATTCATATCAAGATGTGTACTGTTTGCCAGCAGATCCGTTACCAGGCACAGATTTAGGAGATCATCCACTTGAAACAACAGACGAAATACCGGTTTTTGTTAAACAATATCGATATCCACCTGGACAACTTGAAGAAATTTCGAGACAAGTGAAAGAAATGAAAGAAAAAGGACTAATTACAGACTCGGACTCTCCATATAACTCACCTTTGTGGATTGTCCCCAAGAAAAGTGACGCTTCAGGGAAACAGAAATGGCGAGTTGTAGTAGACTATCGAAAATTGAACGAAAAAACTCGCGCAGATGCTTATCCTATACCAAACATAGAAGAAATTTTAGACCAGCTTGGTAACGCTCGCTATTTTTCAGCTTTTGATTTAGCAAGC